CCTCGCCACAAGTCAATATATACACTGAAACCCTAACACTCACAGATATTCTTATCCCTCCGCTTCTTTCTTTTTATTTCATCCATCCCATCATCCCCTTCCTTCTCCTAGCATCCCTTCGTTCTTTTCAAACTTCTCTTCTTTCTGCATTTCTCGCCGCAACCCACCCAAACCACCATGAATGCTTTGACGCGTGGAAGATTTGTAATCAGCTGTGTTCTGTGTCCAACCGCCGAGAAGAAGAAGGACCACAAGCCTAGTCAATGGTACCGCTGAGATCCTTAGATGAAGAAGGACCAGAAGGCCGGCGCCGAGATGAAGAAGGTCATCACACCGGTACGAGGGGGCATGGTGTTCGTTCAGGCAGAGTGTCCTATTGTCGAAGCTTCTGAGGCGGATCAGAAGGTTATCACGAAAAAGGACACTCTGCCTGAACGAACACCATGCCCCCTCGTACCGGTGTGATGACCTTCTTCATCTCGGCGCCGGCCTTCTGGTCCTTCTTCATCTCGGCGCTGGCCTTCTGTTCCTTCTTCAGAGGACAATCTTGACAAGGTGTTGCAGCTCTGTCCACAAGGAGAAGGAACAGAAGGCCAACGTCGAGATGAAGAAGGACCAGAAGGTCGGCGCCGAGATGAAGAAGGTCATCACACGTGTTCGTTCAGGCAGAGTGTCCTTTTTCGTGATAACCTTCTGATCCGCCTCAGAAGCTTCGACAATAGGACACTCTGCCTGAACGAACACCATGCCCCCTCGTACCGGTGTGATGACCTTCTTCATCTCGGCGCCGGCCTTCTGGTCCTTCTTCATCTAAGGATCTCAGCGGTACCATTGACTAGGCTGGTAGATAAGGATCGTGATAAGCTTTTCGAATATGCTGAAGCCATCCAGACACGAACCTTGGAGATGAATGAAAAGATGCTGGAGGAATTTGCCGAGGTAAAAAGCCAACTCAAGGAGATCGCAGCCGCTCAAAAACGAGGGGGATCGTTTGGTCCAAAAACTGGA